GGGGAGGAGAGAGAGAGAGAGAGAGAGGCCCATCTCTTACAATGCCGCCAGCCAAAATCTTTCTCTACTTGGGTCTCCTCCTCTTCTGCACCAACCCCACTCCCTCAAATTCAGCGGTTTGCAGCATAGATCTAGGTTCAGAATGGATGAAGATTGTAGTCATGAACGTAAAGCCTGGTCAATCCCCAATTTCAATAGCAGCTCTCATGCCCTTCCACTCTGGTCTGTTGATCACTTAGTGATAGAGAGATAGAGGGAGGGCAGGTAATGAGAGAGTGAGAGAGGGTGGGTAGAGAGAAAGAGGGGCTGGAGAGAGAGAGAGCAGGTAGAAAGAGTGAGAGAGGGCAGGTAGAGAGAGGGCAGGTAGAGAGTGAGAGAGAAGGGCATTTTAGTATCTATTTTTTGACTTTTTAATTGGGAGTAAATACAAAAAGAAAACAGTCTTTAATGTTTGGTCTAGGGTGTGATACTAAAAGTATTGAGAGGAAGGGGGAGGGATCTATAATTTTCTCTTAAATTACAATGGCAGATGTTAGTATTCTACATTTTCTCTTAAATTACAATGGCAGATGTTAGTATTCTACAGCTGTGTTTGTCAAAGAAGAAGATGTTGCAACCTTCACGATTAAGGCTGTGGATGATCCGAGGACATTAAACAAGGTTATGTACATGAGACCACCAGGTAACATGTACTCACTGAATGAGCTTGTTGAACTGTGGGAGAAGAAGGTCGGCAAGAGTCTTGAGAAGTTTTATATACCAGAAGAACAAGTCCTCCAAAGTATCCAAGGTACGGAGAAACTGAATTCTTTTTCACACAAAAAGCAACTCATCAATTGTGCATTTTTGTCATGGAGAATGAAATAATAAAAAAGTAACACATTCTCTAAATTTTGTAAAATTTTTGAAGCGCCCGTCCTCAAAGTATGTTGGCTCTGAAGCATGGGACTGGAACTCTTACATTAACCACAAAAAATATAAAAGAAGCCCAGTGGTTGACACCAAGCACAAAAGTGTGGGCAACTTCTTCTACGTCCCATGATTCAAGACAATTGCATATTTTATTTACATGTTCTTTGAACGTAATACCATCATTATCTGAAAAATAAATGGTGTGCATATTTTTTAAAGGTTAGTTTGGCCATTACCTTTCATGGCTCATCTGACGTATTTTACATTTATAGAAGTTAGATTTTCATCGTGGTAGTTGTACTGGAAATTGCATTGGCCTTTGAAAAGTGGTATATTATTTTACTTGGTTCAGTCTTAATGCTTGTGTAATATGATTCTAAAAACTGTTCAGCTGCAGAAAATCCATTTCCAAACAATCTATTCATGTTGTTTGTTTACTCGACATTCGTAAGAGGTGATCATACAAATTTTGAGATTATTCCTTCTGACGTGGAGTCTACCCAGCTTTATCCAGATGTAAAATACACCACAATTGATGAGTATCTTGATGGTCTACTCTATGTTTTTATTTTGAAATTATTCTCTTTCATATGTATTCATATGAATATAAAAACGGCTACTTTAATCAACTTTGTCACTATTATTCTTGGTTGCTTGGTTTTGTTGTGTTGTGTTTCTAAAAACATATGGGTACTGTTTAGTTTGCTTTCTGCGTTTAGAATATTGGATTATGTTAAGGGTAGAATTATCTGAATTCTATTTTAAAGCTGATGTGGGGCAACTATTCAGTTATTTTTCATGTACCCGCATGATTTATGCTTTATGTTTTGCAGTAGTATATGCAAGAACCCTATCCAAGGGAAAGAGGAATTGAGGTGAGGTTTTATTTTGTTTTCATAAAACCTAAGCTTTATAAAAACCTCGATATAGATATAGATATATATATATATATATATATATTTGCATAGAGCCTAGGCTCTAAACAATCAAATTGGAGCCTACTTTCAAATAGTGTCGAAAAATGTAGTTTCAATACTGGAAATCATTGTGGTAGCTTTAAAATATATTTTCATCTTTATTTATTTTAAAGCTCCAAAAATAATGTAGATCGATTAATGTATAAAAACTTAAAAATCTTGAAAACTGACAATCCAAAAATGCGTTACAAAATACACTATTTTCAAAACTTGAAATCCATTTTTTTCTATGTCCATGCATCTTAATGTCAAGATGATCAATTTAAAGATATTTGAGCATCAAAACAACCTCTTTTAGTAAAATTTTTGAAATAAGCTTTAATTTGATTGTTTAGAGCCTCAGCTCATATAAACTTTTATATATATATATATATATATATATAATGATTTTGTGAGATCCTGTTACACTTAATGGCATGGGATCCAATTTAGACCGTTGGATCAAAACCAAATCTCAACGTAGGATAAAGGTTTCACTGGCTAACTTAACAAACAAGTCAAAGGAAAACCCCCTGCACTCTCTTCTTAAAAATCCTGCCCTCTTTCTTTCTCTCTCTCGAAGAACTTTTGAACTCGTGGCATTCTTTTTTCTGTCTAAATCTAGGAATGGGGTGAGATCCCTCCAATCTGTCCTTCTCTATCGCAATCTTCTCTTTCTCCTCTCAAAAAATGAGACAAATACAGAAATATACCAATGACCCTGAATCGTCTCAATTACAGACCTTCCCTTAAATTTCTTTTGCATTGAATCATTAATCTTGACATTTACATCTCTTACGCTATTTTCTCTTTCTCCTTTTTCTCTTTCTAATCTCTTATCTTCCTCTCACTTTATTGGAAGCAAATGAACGTGACATCAAAAGAGCAAGTAGATCCATGTAACTGGAACGATGCCCCAATAAAAATATCTGTTATTCCATTAGTATTTTTGTATATACCAAGAATGAAAAGATCTCCATATAACAAGAATGAAAAGTTCTCTCTCACACACAATATAATCTTACCGGAAAAACAACAAGATCGTATATAAATGCCAATTCAAGAAATCTAAGTAACTACATGCATATACCAAGAATGGCACGTACAATTTGCACCACTGAAACAACCTGCCAAAACATCATGAATGCCACTCAGAAAAGCATCCAAATTTCCCGAAAATAAACAAACAACAATGGTAGCCCAACACAAAAAATTTCACATGCAAAAATAGAACTGCTCCAATGCGAAGAAAAAGTAATTAAAAATAAATGAACTGTAAGGAGCCTCTAAGGCCATCCTTTGACCATGCAAATTTATCATTTGAAAGCCATCAATTTTTTCTTCAACACACCCATTGACCTCTGTTGTGCAGTAGCCTCGAATAAACGATCTCGCATGTCCCCTTTTTTGTGCACCTCAATCAAGCTAGTGCTTTGGAACGTCTCATTAGCAAAGGACTCCAAATCCTTCAAATTATTGCCAATGCCCAAGATGGGATTCTTAACACTATCATAATCGTGTTAACAATTGAATCTGATATGCGTGTATATCTTTGATTTAGACAAGAGTTTTAGAGAGAAAAAAGAAACCCAATGAAAGTGCTAGGAGAGAGATATAGTGGAAAAGTGAGGGCCAGGGGTTTAAGAAGAGAGAGGTAGTGGGTTTACCTATGACTCGCTTGATAGGTTAGCCGGTGGAACCTCTATCTCACATAGAGATTCGGATTTGATGTAACTGTTCGTCCAGATTAGGGGTCCCATACCATTAAAAGCGGCATGGTCTCATAAGATCGTTAGAGAGAGAACGTTAAGATTAGCCCACTAGTTCATATGAACATATGAGTCAAACGGTCCAGATTGAATCTGGGCCGATCTGACGGTCACGATATCATTTTGTATTTAAATTTTAATTGTTTTTTTTACAAATCCAAATAACTTAAAATTTTAGACGTGTGTTCTTAAAAAATAAAAAAATCTAATAAAAATATCAAAAAAATAATTTACAAGAAATAAATTGAACAAAATATTTATGAAACGTTTCGGGCGTATTTTGGTTAATTTATGTTTTGTGAATTACTTTTTAAATATTTTTATTAGGTGCGTCTTGATGAGAAGAATAGACGCTTAAAATTTCAAGTTATTTGGATCCGTAAAAAATAAATAAATTAATAAATTAAAGATCGAAATGAGGTCGTGACCGTTAGATCGGTCTAGATTCAATCTGGGCCATTGGGTTCATACGTTCATATGAGCTAGTGGGCTAATCTCAGCATTTATATATATATGTGTGTGTGTGTGTGTGAGGCTGAGGCTTTAACTAATCAAAGTGAGGCGCACCTTCAAATCTTTTCAAAATATGTCGTTTTAGTATAAGAAATCTTTGTAATGGCATGAAAAATTATTTTTATATCTAATTGCAAAATTTAAAAAATTAAAAATAGTTTAGATCTAGCCGATCTATCAACACTTGAAAAATATTGAAAATTGACAGTCTATATGATACATTACAAAATGCATTATTTCCAAGACTGGATATCTACTTTTCCATTGAAATAAAGTAGGGCTTCGGTCATCTTGATTTGCTAAATAGTAGAATAAGAGCTCAAGGAAGTGGTGTAATACTTAGAAATCTACTGGAAACCTACCTTTTTTCAAAAATGGTGAACTTTATTTTAGTGAAAAATTTTGAACAGATTATTCCATGTTACTCCCAGATGGTCATCTAACCAAGATGCTCGAACGTGCTTCATCAAAGCTGGTGTTTTTTAGGCTCCCTTCCTCGACCTTTCTACCTTCCAACATGAACAGATTAAATTCTTCATCTGCTTTAAGTATATGCAGCGAAGGTTTTCCTTTCTGTATGGCAGCTAGAAGGAGCATAGCATCTCATGCGGGTTGGCTGAGGGAGGCGGACTTGTTATTCTCAGTCCATCCACAAAAGATTGTTTGGCACTAACGCATTTGGACTATATACATTAATTAGCACCCACCGAAAACCAATTTATGGTCCTTCAAAACCAAAAATCTCTCTCTTTCCAATAAATTTTCCATTAAGTTACTGGAACATGAAATATAGTTTTCGATTTTTGAAAAAATATCCAATTTTCACCTTTTTAACTATAAAAAATACTAGATTTTTGGTTTTTCAAAAACTAAAAATCTCTCTTTCCAGTAAATTTTCCTTATTAAAAAATGAAAGATAGTTTCCAGTTTTTGAAAAACCGAAAATATCCAAGTTTCGGTTTTTGAACAATCGAGAACATGACAATTTCAATTTTTCAAAAACAAAACATCTCTCTTTCCATTAAATTGCTGGAAAAAGAAAGATAGTTTTGGGTTTTTTAAAAATCAAAAGTATCTGATTTTTGGTTATTGAAAACCCAAACGCACGACTTTTTCGGTTTTGAAAAACCGAAACATTTGAACATATCGGTTTTTCAAAAATCAAAAAGGGTAGTTTTGTCTTTATTAAAATAAAGTTATGAAGTGGAAACAACGAGTATACATGTAATAACAAAAAAGTTACGGTAACTCCATAACAATGCTAAATATAATGAAAATATCAATGGTTTAAAAAACGGATCGGTGACCCGGATCGGGCTCCCAAAAAACCGATCCAAATCGACGAATCGGCGATCCGAATTGGGAATCAGGTGAATCGGTCAGAATAAAGCTTAAAAAAAATCCGAAAAAATTATTAAAATTCATTATAAATATTGTTTTTTAGGAATTCAATAAGAAATGAGGGTACTCCATTAAGAATTTTCATGTTTTTGAATGAATATGAGAATATTGATATGTTCTTTCCCTGCATGAACCGCCATTCAGCATTTAATTTACATCACACAAAAGGATAAATATAGAATTATCGTGGAATAAGTATATCAACATACATGGACTACAATAAAGCATAAAATTAGTAACATATGATCTAAAAATAAAATGATAGACGACGTTATCGTTCTTCTTGGTCACGCTGGTGCCATTGATTGAATTCGTTTAACAATTCATTGATTCGATCTAAAAACGAATCATCGATATTAGCAGGCGTCTGACTATTCTCAAATCCCTGAGTGTTAGTGTTTTGTTGTGTTCCCAATCTAAAATCCCCGAAGATTACCCATCCTTCATGCTCACCTACACTGTCGTGCTCATCCCTACACTGTTGCTGTTGGGACTCGATATGTGAATAATATGGCTGGGATAGGGTGGCCTCAGAATCATCATCTCTCTCATTTTCTCTTTGAATAATATGGATTAAAAAAAAATTAACAAATTTTCAAAAAAATCAATCATGGATTAAAAAAAAAATCACAAATTTTCAAAAAATTCTATCATGGATTACAAAAAAAATTCGATCATGGATTAAAAAAAAAAATCACAAATTTTCAAAAAATTCTATCTTGGATTGCAAAAAAAAATTCGATCATGGATTAAAAAAAAAAATCACAAATTTTCAAAAAATTCAATCATGGATTACAAAAAATTCGATCATGGATTACATAAAATTCGATCATGGATTACATAAAATTCGATCATGGATTACATAAAATTCGATCATGGATTACAAAAAAAAACAAACAAAAAAAAACAAAAAATTCGATCGTGGATTACAAAAAAAGAAAAAAACAATTCGATCATGGATTACAAAAATTCAATCATGGATTACAAAAAACTCTATCATAGGTTACAAAAAAAACAAAAAACAAAAAATTCGATCATGGATTACAAAAAGAAAAACAAACATTTCGATCATGGATTATAAAAAAAAAAAACATTTCGATCATGGATTTCAAAA